AATAGTTTACCTAACATGAATGTGTGACGACTAGCATGCAATTGACAAAACCCTACTTCTATTCATGAAAGGTAAGGTTCCTTTCATAGTTTATTCAACCATAACATTATGCAATAGACTTGGTCATTAAAAACTGTACTTAGTTGCAACAGTCTTTTTGCAGACTCCTGAAACTTATCATTTCACTAGATTCAATCACTGAGCCTGAGGTCTATTTTCTGCAGCTGTGTGTAGTAGAAGCTGCGCAAGCAAAAGTCCATTTTTTTATGTACCTAAGGTGTAAACTGAATAGCTTAATTAGAAATATATGGGACCAGTCGAGTGGCGTCTGACTTGGGTTGGTAACAAGTTATTTTTTACAAGTCCAAGTCAAGTGACAAGTCAAAGCTGGTATTTACAAGTCAAGTCACAAACATAGCTATTTGCGTCCGACTCGAGTCAGCAACTCTGCCAACGGGCTATCTGTAGGTGACGACACTCCAGCTAAACTATGAACCCAGTTGACTGCGGCTGATGTGGTGTCTGTTGCAGAATTTTGCATACTTGGGAGGAGTGAAGATATGCATAGGGCAAAATCAAGCAGCTCTATTGGAAAGACTGGCACCCTGATTTTGGAGGATGCCCACAACTCCCACTTTCTCCAGGAAGCACTGTATCTTTTCGTGGTGGATGGCACTCTTGCAAAATAAGCAAAAAAATAAAGAGATCAGTGGAAACAAAATTAGTGCAATTGTGTTATGGTGGAGTTGCTTGTTGCCTCACAACTTACACTCCTGAGAATGCCAAAAAAGAGGAAAAAGCCTAAACAGCTGTGATTAAGACACTCATGGTCTGCATGGATTTAAACATTCATTCCAATTATGCATTCAAAGCAGCACTGGCTCTTAACAGCCAGTATCCACACCCTCATGTGCAACAAGCACTGTCGGGGATTCTTAGTTTTGTTGTACTTGAACCTCAATGCCAAACAGGAGACAGAGGGTCTCGCCTGGAAGGCGGAATTTGAACCCAATGTAGGAGGAGTAAGGGAAACATATATTTCTCTCCAATCGACTATCCTAAAGGCAAATGTATGCTGTTTGGGCATACCAACAGCCAGAATAAAGTGGATGGCCACTTGGGGACAATCAATGTGGCATATACCTCGTTTGCAGCAATTCATTTAACCACCTGAATTATGAGGGAAATGGAGGGACAGAAATGGTTATTCTCGTTCAGCCAGCTTTCCCAAGAGGCATCTACACCCCCGACTCCTTTTCACCAAAACCTCGTGTTAAACTGTTTGATCTGTGCATTGAAGCAAATCTATCTATAGTATGGGGTCCCCACAGGTGATCTATTTGCTTGAATGATTCGTTATCAATGGCCTAATTTTCAAAATCTCTACACTTACTAATTTGATCTGCTAGTTTGTTTACATTTCTATGTAACCATTCCGGTAGAATGATGTATGTTTGTCTTTTGGCCAAGTTGTATATCTCAAGAGCAAAATAGTGTAAATTGGGGTTAGTACTACCACAGGTGATGATTTTTGGAACATTTGAATTATCAGTATGCCATTTAATGACTTCGGGGGTGACCAGGCCCTGCATCTTGGATAGTATGCGATGGACTGTGACTAACTCATGCCATATTGAGCTATTTAGTTTCTCTGACTCTGACTAAGTACCATGACAATTTGCCACGAAACCGACGTAATCGTTGTTGCTGGCGTCCAAGTAGATAGTTATAGAAGGCACTAGTTGAAATCGGATGGTATAGCTGTTAAGTTGATTGAATTATGTTTTCGGCCCAAAATTCGAGTTCAGAGATGGTTGTGTCTTGAAGGACTATGTTGTCAGACCAATTATTTCTAGATTTGGTAGTTCTGTACGAGTCACTTGTCATTAATCTAGCCACCGGAATTAGAGCTGGGGCCATTGATATTATTTTTCCTGTAAAACATGCAACGAGTTTTACCGGTACACGTCCTTCAATTTTGTGAACTGAAAGTTTTGCCGAAATCATTGTAAGAAGTTTGTCTATTTTCACTGTGGGTACGCTGAAACTAGAATGTTTCGGAATCGATGATTAAGCCAAATATTGTATTCTCTGGGAATGGAAAGGGATCCATAAGCACTTTGTTTTGGACAAAACCACAGCACCTAACCGTATCCTGTACGATAGATCTTGTGGAATTTGCAGAATCAAGATCAAGTGATATTATGAGACCATTATCTATATATACATATAGGCAAGTTTTCCCTGTCCATGCAAGTACTATACCTTCACACAACATGACATCACTGCGATTGTGTCTTTGACGTGATTTCATCACAAGGGACCTGTTTTCAGTGCTTGCGTGAAAGGGCCTTAACTAAAAACAGCTAACAAGTTAGCCGAATGAAAGCTGGAGTAAATTTATCTCCCCAAATCAGCCAATCTAAGAGCCAAAATTAGAGCAAAAAAAGGTATATTCTACCTCCAATAAAAGCTTGTAGTCACACATGCAATTGTATTTGCAGAACTCAACAATTCATAAGCAGTCCTGCAACACGATATTGTTTTGATGCTATGGCCTATAATAGGCCTACTGTGCAAGACCTCCTGAAAGCCAGTTTTGGCTTGAATTTGCAGGTCATGCCTGATGAGATGCGAATAATTACCTTTAGAACTTTTTATATGTGTAGCATATTATTGGCAGGAAAGGTTAAGAATAGGCTGAGCAAAAGGCAAAAGTATGTTTTTCTGCTGCAGCAGAAGCTCATACCATTTTTTTTCAGCTACGTAGTTACAAAAATTAATACTGGAGATTTTATTTAAATTTGTATTACAAAAAAATTGATTGTAGTCCCACAGCTATTTCAGACAGGGCCATTCAAAACTCAAAGAAACCCTGCCATATTATCCACCTTTTGCCAATTTCTAGAAATGGTCCATTTGTGCACTTCAACCTGGAGACGTTTAACGTCAGTGCGGGGATGGTCACTGACCTGGCATGTGCTGTTCTTGGTACATTGGTTATGGTTCCGTGCTCCTGCAACTTTTGGAGTTTAAATCAAGGGGTCAGGATCACTGATTTCTTGTATTCTACTTCAAGTCAGATGACTTGTAAACTCACTGGGATCTCCTGTTTCCCTAACACAAAATGTTTACCCATTTTTTTACAGTGTTGTAGGACTCAAGTCTGAACTTGGACTTGAGTCTGGACATGAGACTTTTTAATCAACTTGGACTCTGATTCAGGTTATTTGAACTCATTTTTTACTTAGACTGGACCAGGGCCAAAAGAATCATCTCTGAGTCCAGTTTGAGTTCACCCCAAAAATTCAATTGTTATACATGAAAAAAGGCCCCACTTTTGACCCAAATCTAAATCACACAAAGTTATATAATTTTGAATGAATTTGTAAATGCTTATTTTTATTTATTCATTTCTTGTTGATTTCACTGGGAAAACAGTGTATCAAAATTCTTTCAGACTAGTTAATTTATACTTCAAGAACCTCAGCATCACCTGTAAGAATCAATCGTACTATTAGTAGCCCTTTCATGTTACTTTTCAATATCATTTTTTAAACTTAAACTATCATACTACACATAGTAAGCAATTTCCCTTCACGAATTTTAAACTTTTCTAACCAATACTTCAAATTTATAACAGAGACGAGGTGGGCAGCGTTCCTTTGAGGGGCCTTCTCTGACAAGTCCTCGACAGGCAATTGCCAGTAGTCCTCGTTTTGTCTTCAACCCACTACATAAAGACCTACACAATACAACTTGTTATGGTACTCAGCCAAGTAGTCCCAGGCATAACGGAGGAAGTCCAAGAGGGAGTGCACATCATGGAAATTGCAGCCCTGCAGGTCAGAGACTAGGAGGATTTAAATCAGGTTAGTTACCATTTTTGGCCACAGACTGGCAAGATGCAGATTCAGTAAAATAGTGGCACATGCAACACACTGACGGGATTCAGATCAGGTTAGCATAAACCACATTGGCCTCACACTAGCAGGAAACATGTGTCACAAACCAGGTTCTCAAGTTTTCCTTTGGGCTACTTATCTTAAATCGGACCACGCAACCGACAAGAACAAATTTGCAAAATTCCCAATTTCTATTTACCCCTGCACGCAATAATTCATTTACACTATCATTTATTTACACAAAGTATTTACAATATTTAAATTCCCTCTGAAATTTAATGCACAATTTAAGGTGTCCAAAATACAGCCTTGAAAACTCAATCCGAAATTGTTACTTTCTGGAGGCATTTCAGACGATTTGCAGAGGAGGTTGACACTGGCAGTCTTGAATGCATCCCCCCATGTAGTTTTCTTGCAGCTCGTTCCCCAAGGTTCCTTGTCTCCCAAGGTAGGCATAGTCAACCCTCCTGGTGGGCATCCCTGATGATTGTGGTTGACTGCAACAGACGTCGTACCCCCACCTTTGCTGAAGTGCTGAGTCCAAAAAAGGAGCCATGAAAATAATCCATTAAGTCATTTAAAACAAAAAAAAATTTAATACAGCTGATTAACTGGATTTAGGGAGCAAATATCATGGTGTCTGATCATTCCACACTGAACAAATATGTGGACATTCCATATAAAGAAAACTTATAAATAGACAAATCATTCTGCATAAGTCCAGCATCATGGTGCACAATGGAATATCAGATGATCTACTCGTCATCATAATTAAATTGGGAGAAACTAAATTAGGCCCAACATCCTGACATTTATACAGAGAATGGCTATGATGGGTGTTTATTAGAACATATAATTATAGAACTAAATATAGACTTATAGTTCTATTTGACGACAAAGTCTTTCAAAATGGCTCCCTGGCTTCAAATGGTGAGTTCTTGACTCCCAAATCAAATAAGCTCATTTCAAATTATTCAGCTAATGCTGTCTTTGGCTGTCGCTGGAAGACTGGGAAAATCTTAAGTCTGTTGCCTGCAACCTACACAGATTACCAATACATATGCATTATTTCCTAGTCTACCACTTTCGTCTTCTAAATTCTCGATCACCATTAGTGCGCCCTACTCGCTCAACCCCCGCAAAGGCAGCTGCCATGTTCTTCTCCTTTTTCTTAGCGCCATTACTATTGGACGTGTTTTGCTCCTCCTCTGAAATTTAAGGAAGTTTCCTTTGCTACTACATGTTTCGGTGTTATTTTTTAATCACTTTGCTGACTTGTTTGTTCTTTTTAACTTGTTGGCTTTTTTGCAAATTTGCGAAAAAGGCATCTTTTTTTTTAAAATGGTAGACCTTCCTCTTGTACCTGGACGATATTATTGTCAACGGGAAGACGGTGGATGAGGAATTTGCCCAATTGAGAGAAGTTATTCTGAGGTTACGGAGTGCGAACCTCAAGATGAAGCTTGCTAAATGCCACCTGTTTAAAAACAGTGTTAAATGTCTTGGACATGTCGTGTCTGAGAACGTCATTGCAACTGATCAAGACAAAGTAGCAGCAGTCAGAGATTGGCCGACTCCAACCAGCACAAAGGAAGTGAGAAGTTTTGTAGGTCTTGCTTCTTATTACAGGCGTTTTATAAGAGGTTTTGCCAACATAGGGAGACCACTTCACCGCCTAATGGAAAAGTCCAGAGACTTTGTTTGGGACGAAGATTGTGAGTGGTCTTTACGGATCCTTCAGAAACTCTTGCAAGAAGCACCCTTGCCGACCGTGCCGACAATGTGGTATGAGTTTGGATGATTCATGTGGGATGGAAGCACATGACACTTCGACCGTAATTACCAATTCACAAGCTCGAGTTAGAGCACAACCAGTAGTTACTTGCGAGGTGATTAGGAAAGCGCAAATGGAAGATCCATCCAGGGCATGGATCATAGATGCAAAGGAGCAGATGTCCAGTAAACCAGAATGGGAAACTATTGCTTTGAAATCGATGGCAGCAAAGACGTACTGGCCCCGTTGGGACCAATTAAGAATCATGAATGGGGCACTGAATTGCAGATGGGAGTCTGATGACGGCAAAAGCGTACGTTGGCAAATAATATTGCCAACATCACTTTGAGGGAGTTTCATGTCTGAGTTACATGGGGGTGCAACAAGTGGCCACCTGGGATTTTGACGAACATTCGCCCGGGTGAAGTCCTGCTATTTTTGGCATGGAATGAGAGCCGATATTCAGTCGTGCTTAAGAAAGTGCGAAAGGTGTGCGAGAGGAAATAGCCACCAAAGAAAAACAAAGCCCCACTTCAGCAATCATGTGTTGGCTATTTATCAGAAAGGGTTGCTTTGGACATCTTAGGACCCTTGCCTGAAATGCAAGATGGTAATCTTTGGATAATGGTTGTCGGTGACTATTTCACCAAATGGATTGAAGCTTAGCCGTTAGTTGATGCTACGTCTGAAAACATTGCAAAGACATTAGTGACGGAATTCATTTGTTGACTGGGAGTGCCAGCAGAACTGCGTTCCGATCAAGGACGAAATTTAAAGTTTGTAATGACTTGGGCATTCAAAAGACCAGAACCACTCCGTATAATTCCAAATCAGATGGTTTTAGTGAGAGGTTCAACAGAACCCTCATTAACATGAAAGCTACCATGATCAAACCTAATAAGCATCAAAGAGATTAGGATACGCAATTGCCATACGCTACTTTCATGTATCTATCAATCCCCCAAGAAAGTACAGGAGAAACACCTTTTATGATGACGATGATGAGGGTGAGTCAATTAAGGCCTGGGCTCCTAAAAGACTAAACAAGGATGTAGGTGAGCAGAATGATACTCCTCCCTGCGAAGCAGTCACCAGTGATAGCAGCGAATGATAGATACCTGATGTAGGTCCTGCTAATGTGGTAGGTCAGGGAGAATCTGCCTGGGTTGAGGAAACAGAAGTCCCTGTAAAACAAAGCGGACATGAGGTAACTGATAAAACAGTAGAGTCATCCCTATGGGGGATGACCTCTCATGAGGTGGTAAAATCCACACCATGCGACAGGAGGTATCCTAAACGAGCCCACAGGTAACCTGTAAAGTATCGATAACTGACGGGGAATAGCGGAGCGCTGACCAGCAAAAATGCACATTTTTCAATTTTTGATTGTTTCAGAATGGCTCAGAGGGCACCAGACGATTTGGATCCTGCCCGGCTACTTAGATGCCGTAAGTGCCCCAAAGTGTTTTTGCAGCAGAGGAGCCTTTATCAGCATATTCAGGTGTCGAATGGTCCACCCTTGGTGGCATCCTGCCTCCGATGTCCTTTCAGGAGCAACAGGAGGGACAATCTCCAATGTCATTGTCGGAGGGTACATCCATCTTACTTGTATGGTCTCGACAGAATAATGATGAGCCTCGGGATCAAGGCCTCTGAGCATCAAGCCATCGAGCAGCACGCAAAAGGGGCAAGCCAACAACGTGTCATGCCCCTAGCACATGTACCCGTTCCTGCGACTACAGCGACCTTGGAGCAGCAGCCTTCAGTGGAGATGGCGGCACTTGCTGAGGAGCCACATCAAGCAGTTCGGCCTGCTCTTGGGGAGATGGCAGCTCATCATGCATCTCTCGTTTTTGATCAGGAGATCCTTGCTATCACGGAGGAGGAGCTGAGCCTCTCCCCACTGCTTCGATGAAGTTGCTCCTGGAAGAGACGGAGACTGAACCGCAGCTGATGCCTCAAGTACCTGCAAACTCAACCGGCCCATCAGCTTCACCACCATCACTGCCAGGGGGCAAACCCCTAGCTCTTTTGAGGGCCCAGCAGGTGCAACAGCCATCGTTGTCATTGCCCTCAGAAGATGAAAGCCCGGTAGAGGACAGTGCTGCAGTTGATCCAACAGCTCCAAGAAGGATATCACCGGCGGCAGCCAAGACCATCGCGAAGAGCTTCCTGTGGCTAGCCTTAGAAGGAAGAGTCGCCAAGGTGACACAGACCGTCACTAAGGTCTACTGGACAGGAAGCCTGAAGAGCGTGCAATGTGTAGGAGTGTACGACATCCAAAAGTGTTCATTCTATAGTTCTCCACCAAACGGACACTGAACATTAGTTTGTTTATTTCAAGTAAATCTGTTTGGAATACGTCAAGCGTGGGTTAAATTTCTCTTATCCTAAGTGTTGCTACAGTGTAATTCTTGATGTAATCATCCACAGTTGAGTTCCTTGCCAAGTCAGTGATCAACAGCCCAATGAACTTTGGACCCTTTTTTTTCGGTGTTTGTTTACTCACTTAAATTTCAGCAGCACATGTAATGGGTTATTGAAATAGAAATGTTATTGTTATAGTAAACTAATTTCATAAGATTATTTCGGCCAATTTTGAACAGGGGCTGTTCAGGCCTCGAATGGGGCTGTGCAGCGGAAATTAGTTTACTTCCTGTATCTACTGACTAAATTTACTTCCGTTGTTGCTACGAAGAAACTCCAAGTGTGCATGTGAGCTCTACGTCATGTTGTTTGAAAATACCTGTTTCCCAGTGTGTTATTTTGTTCATCTGTCTCGCCCTTAGACTAGGATATACTTTCCTAAAATGAATGTCCGTGCAAATTACATTCTGCCACTCATGTGTAATTTGTTCAAATAAAATTCTAAAATAAACTTGAGTCGGCGAGAGCCGAGAATCTTCGATGCCGAGCGCCGAGCGAGCCTGCCCGACCGCTAACATCATGTACAAAGTCAATGGGCTGAAATAAATATTGAAAAATCAATAATAAATCACTTGATGACATCTTCATGACGTCATTATTTTAGTATTATCTTTACCTCGAGGTCTTTCCTTGGTATGACTTTGATGACTATTGAAGGTAGCTGAGTAACCAACATGATGCCTCAAGAACGTGTACAAAGCCAATGGGCTGAAATAAATATTGAAAAATCAATAATAAATCACTTTATAATGTCATCATGACATCA